TGCTCCCCAACTTGTCTCGCCCACTTCCACCGTCCCCGGACATGCCGCCTCCCCCATATCTAGCCCAGTCCTTCCGGCCCAGGCCCACGCCCCGCCCCCCCTTCCGTATCCCCGGTTTCGCGCTCCCGAAGGGCGGGAATAGAGTGGAATCGGTGACGACCACTGCAAGGGGGCGGGGCCAGGCCGTAATCGATGGGAGGGGGCGGGGCCTGTCCGGCGCCACGGTCGAAGGGCTCCACACGCAGGCGTTGCTCCTCCCCTTCTCGAGACTGACAGCCGTAGTAACCAAAGGCGCCGTGGAGGCGGGAGGCGGGCTCCGCCTGACAGCCAATGGCAGCGAGAGGCCGGCGGGCAGCCCAGCGGCTAACGGCAGTGAGGTGACAGGCGGCGCGAGCAGCCAATGGCGCGGCGGAGGGGGAAGCGGCCGGCCAATGGCGCGGGGCTCGGGGGGTAGGGCTGCGGCCGACGCGCGGCGGATCGCGGTGAGCGCTGAGCCGGCGGGTTGCGGTTCCGCAGGTCGTTCTCAGGGCCCGGACTCTCCTGCGGTCGCAGCACCAATCCTGGCGGGGCTGCTCCCGCTATCTGCCGCCTGAGCATACGCCCGGGCCACCCCCCGCCCCGCTGCGCCCAGAACTGACCGCCAGTTCCCCTTCCTCGGTACAGGCCCCCGAAGCCCTGGCTCCCCCCTGCTTCCCAGGCAGCAGCCCCAGGCCCAGGGCTCTCCCTCTGTCCCTCTGTACTCTCTCCAGCCCTTCAAACTGCCTTCCGCGCCCCCCCCCCAGCAGAGCCCTAATCTCCAAACGCCCTGAGGTTCTCCCTGGTCGCCTTCCTTGATGCTGTGGCCTCGCCGCCGCCTTCCCCTGTCTGTGCCCCCGCCATCAGTTCCACTCCCGCTCCCTCCCTGAAGCTACCACCCCAGAATCCACCCCAACTCACCTGCCCCAAGCCCTCCAACCTGGGTCCCCTTTCCCGAGGGTGCCCTCCCCGTCTTCTAGGGGTGCCCCCCCTACTCCTGGGGTGCCCCTGTCTCCCCAGGGTGCTTTCTCCCCACAGACCCCCCCCCCCTCCCCCGCGCCATGGCGGAGCCGCGGTACCTGCAGGCCGACTGCACTTTTCGGCCCGGGACGCACACGGTGCGGGTGACTCTGGCTCGCACTGCGCTGCAGGTGGAGGTGGAGGCTCACGGTACCGCCGACCTGTGGAGGGGCGAGTTTGATGCCGCTTGTGAGTGCCGGGGGGGATCTGGGGGAGGACCGAGGGAACCCCCCACGACTGCCACTCACTGAAGTACCCCCCTCCTCGCAGTCATCGAGGACCTGACCCGCAAAACGGGGAATTTCAAGCAGTTTGGCATTTTCTGCAGCATGCTGGAGTCAGCACTGATGCAGGTGTGGCTGCGCCACTCCCCTACATGGCATTTTGGGGGCAAATGTGGTGGAGTGTGTGTCGTACTGAGCCTCCCCCACTTTTCAAACCCCCTGCAGAGCAGCGAGTCTGTCAGCCTGGAGCTCCTCACCTACGCCGACCTGGAGACCCTGCGTAGCCGGAAAGTGGGGGCAATCGCCCGGCCTCCCCCTTCCTCCTCTTCCCCCCTCAGCACCAAGCGCTACCTTATCCTCGTCTATTCTGTGGAGTTTGATAGGTGACAGGGAACACTGGGCAGGGGTCACGGAGGAGTGACACCAGCCTCACCCCCTCCACATGCTCCTCCCCAGGATCCACTACCCGCTGCCGCTGCCTTACGTCGGGCGGCCGGACCTTGCCACACTGGTGCAGGAGTTGCGGGAGGAGCTGGCACGGCTCCGGGCCCGACGCCTGGAGGAGATCCAGCACCTGCGGGACGCGTGAGTGGGGCCTGCAGCACTCAGAAGGGTTTGGGGGGTTCAAGGTGAGGAAGGAGCCCCCAGACCACACCCTGCCATCCCCCTCAGGCTGCGACGGGCACTGGAGGAGAAGCGACTGGCAGAGGCCCGGCATCAGCGTGAGCACCGTCAGCTGGCTGCCCAGGTGGGCTGGGAGGGGATGGGGGGGGCCTGCAGGTTGGGGACTGCTGGCAGCAGGAAGGGGGGCTGCCGGATGCACAGTGAACCTTTTCCCCCACCTTGCAGCTGGCCGAGGCAAAGGCATCAGAGCAGAGGCTGCAGCTGCGGGTGAAGAGCCTGACAGCCGAACTGGCCTCCTGCAGGAGGGGGTGAGGTTGGGGTGGGCTGTACAGGGGGACTCTCATGACCATGGGATGTCCCCCCCTCATGGCACTGGTCCTCTTGGCAGCCGCCGGACATCTGCCAGCACGGCCCCCTGCCCCCAGGAGCGACGCTCGGCATCCCTGGAGAGCCACAGGAGCAGCCAGGGCCGCCCCTCTCTGCGATCCCCATCACCTGCAGGTGTGGGTCGCTTGGGGGGACACACATGGGGTGGAGACAGGACATGGCTCATCCTGACCCTCTCTTTCTCACCCCTTCACCAGGCTCCCGCCTCCCACGCTTTGACCCCACTGCCTTTGTCAGGGCCCGGCAGCGACGGCAGAAGGAGGCTGAGCTCAGAAAGTAAGCGGTGACAGTGAACTTGTCACCATCCCACTGTCCCATTCCTCCCCAGCACTTGGGGGATCCCCTGCTCCCACTCACCATCTCCCTTGGGTGCAGCCAGCGGCACAGGGCAGCTTTTGGCAGCTCCAGTCCGGCGAGGAACCATGGGCGCAGCTCGTCGGGTGAGTGGGGAGCATGAAGAGGGCCAAGGGGCACCCACTGGGTGCTGGTGCTCCTTCCTCAACTTCCTCCCTTACCCCCATTTCTCCCTGCAGCCACAAGCTTCCGGAGCTGGTGCTCGGCAGTGAGCTCTGGCAGCAAAGGCAGTGAGTGCCCCGAGGCCATGCCCCACAGGTAATGCTGGTGTAGGGCAGGATGCTTGGGCATCCTTCCTGGCACCTCTTAAACCCCCCTATCTTGGGCAGGGACAGGAGGGTGACCCATACCCAGAGACCCCTGAGCACCTCGTCCTGCAATGGCCCCTGTATGGTGAGTGGCAGCCCCTTTGGGGTCCCCCCACCCATTTGGGGCCCCCCATCTACATGCTAAAGTGGGGTGAGCACAAGGAGTTGGGGGACACACACCAGTGACCGCCAATCTCTCCCACAGGCACCTCGCCTGGCTGCCAGTCACAAGGTACCCATACGCAGTGCTGCTGGCAAGCGCCCTGGTAAAGGTGAGGCCCCATCCAAGTCCCTGGATATTCAGGGTGCCCCCCAGCCCAATTCAGGCCTTCGTTAACCCATTTTCCCTGCACTGACCTCCTCAGAGAACCACTCTGAGGAGCCCTCGGCTGAGCTGGCTGAGATTGATGCCCGGCTGTGGGCGCTGCAAGAGTACATGGACAGCCTGGACACCTGCATGTGACTCCCCACCAGGGACTCCCAGCCCCTCTGGGAACCCTCCCCCCTCCCTGTGTCAGGGGGTGACAGTGGTGTGGGGCAAGTGTTCCTTCAAATAAACCCCTGTCTGGCCCTAGGGCATGTTCTTCTTGGGGTAGGGTGGGGCTTCTGTCCCCCCTCTTGCGGTCCTCTTGTCCTCACTCACTGTCCCCTCAATATCCCGCTGCTGGGGACATGGCAGGAAGGACACAATATGTGTGTCGGGGGGTGGGCACCGGGACGTCACCAGAGGGTGATAGCGGACATGGGGGATACATGCCCCAGGTCACCAATCCTGTCCTCTGGGCTATCAGTGAACTCAAAACACCACTGCAATATGACAGCAGGACCCATGTTGCCCTACCCTGCCCCTGCACCCTGTCCCCTGTGTGTCCCTGTCCCCCCTCCTGCAACGCTACTGTCCCCATGGCACTGGCCGAGCTCCCCATTGTGGTTCTGACACTACCATGGCTTTATTCAGTTCTGTGTCACACAAAACAGTGGGGTCAGCAGTGACTGGAGCCAGCATGAGGCTGCAGTTCAGGAATGGTGGCAGCTAGCCAGGGGGTTAGCAGTGATCGTGTCACCAGAGTGTAGAGGTCCTGGGGTGGCAGGGTGGTGGTCTCTGTGCCAAAGCCACTGTTTGGTGTCACTGTGACCTGTGACCACACTGGGGATGCCACTGTGGTGAGGAGATCTTCAAAGTCAGTGTGAGGTGCTGCAGCCACGACTCGATGCCACCACAACCACACATTCTTCGGCAGGACACTGCAGCAATGATGCTGACAGGCATGAGCCAACCACGGCAGATGCGGCACTGGTGATGCCATGAGGACAGGAGTGGTGCCGGCAGCTGCTCGTGGATGTCTGGCAGGCGTTGTTGCTGCCGCGGGTGACAGCCACAGTGGGGATGGTGAACGTGATGCCTCGTCCCAGTCCCGGTCAGAGCTGTACGCGGATGTCGGGCAGGAGGCGACAGGCCGTGACGATGTCGATGGTGTCGGCCACAGCGCGCAGGTCGCGGCGGGCCAGGCGCAGGCAGTGAGCGGCGGCGGCGGCGGTCACCTGCGCCCGGCCTAGGGCCCCCTCCAGCCCCCCCAGGCTCCGGGCGGCGCTGCCATAGCTCTGCCGCAGGGCGCTGCCCACCGCCCCCTGCAGCCGCCCCGTCCCCTCCCGCAGCCGCTGCTGCAGCAGCGAGGGGCTCCCCTGCCCGCCCCCCCAAACCGTCGCCGGCTCCTCCGCCAGCACTGGGGATGTCTTCGGTCTATGCTCCTCCTCCTCCTCCTCCTCCTCTTCGGTCTCGGAGGCTTCGCCCGGCACCTTCAGCCCGGCCCCGGGGGCTCCCGCCGCCGCCCCCACCAGCAGCTCCTGCTCCGAGTCGCTCTCGGAGGCTTCGCCCGGCACTACCGTGAGGGGGCGGGGGGCGGCCATGGCCTGAGGGGCACGGGGGGGGATCAGGGGGGCATCACCGAAGGGGGGGGCGCTCCGGGCTTGGCCTGTGGAGTCCCTCCCCCACTCCTCCCCGCGTGCTCAGACCCCTGTAGACTCCCACGGCCCACTTAGTGATCCCAAATCTCCACATCCAGGACACCTCCCCCCACAGTCCTCCCCCTCCAATCCCACGAGAATCTCCCACCTCCTGCCCGCGAACGCCGCAGGTCACATGATGGGAGGACCACGTGGCCTTCGCATCACGTGTGCCGGCGGCGGTAATCCGGAAGTGCCGTCATTCGGCATGGCGGGCCGGGTTCTGCCGGCGGACGGCGCATGCGCCACGCCGCCATTAAATCAGGGAAGCACTGCAGCGCTGGCAGGCTCCGGGTGTCCTGGCTCTGCTCTGCGGAAATGGTGAGCGCGGACAGGAGGCTTAATGGAAGACCTGCGGGGGCACCCCCTCTGGGGGACAGCCGCCATGCCTCGCGGCCACAACCGAGAGCAGGAGCTGGGCTGGCACCGGGACGGCAGCCGGATCCAGAGCCCTCCGCAGGCCACAGGGCCCCTCCGGCCGGGTCACGCCCGCCCGCCCGCCACCAATAGCGCCGCGTACATTCGCGGCCATTGGCAGCCCGGCGGTGGCGGGGCGGGCCGAGAGCGCCGATTGGCCGCGCCGGGCGGGGCCAGGCCCCTCCTACCTGGCCTGTCCACGCCCTTCGGCCCTGGTCCGCTCACTGCCGTGGCCCCGCGGGCTTCTACTTTGGGTCCCGCGCGTCCCGCTCGCCTTCTTTGGGAGGGTCCCTGTGCAACGGGATCCCCTGGGGAGGGCCGAGGCTGAGGAAGCTGGGGAATGGTGCCCCTCCCCGCCGGGAGTGCCCCTCTCGCCCCTCTCCATGACGCGGTCTGAGCGGGGGGGGGCTGTGTATCGGGGTGCCGACCCCACCCTGCGCCAGACTGTGGCATTTGAAGCCTGGCGGAATGTTGCAGTGGCAGCTCACGTGACTGATGCTCATCCGTGGTTCTTGGAGGTCCAGAATCTCATGGGGCTGTGGAAAGAACAGAGGTCAGGAAATCACACAGGTGGTGCTGTGAGATCCAATTTTTTGTGGGCGATAAGTGGCTCAGAGGGAAGTGGAGCATCTACTCTGCATGCTTGTTGCATCCCTGAGCTGGAACAAGACATTCCCAGCAATTGCCAAGGTGTGTGGCAAGGAAGTCTCCTAGCCTTGCCATCCAGAGCTGCAGGTAGGAATCCTGTGGAATGGGAGTGCATTTACCTTGTGTCAGAAAGTACTTTAGAGCTCAGTCTGCACCACCCTGTCTGCAGGGTCATGATTTCTGGGCCTATGACATTCCAGGGATGAATCAGATGGACTCACAGTCACCATCAAAAACAGGGAGAGTAGGGAAGATAAAAAAGTGTTTTGAGCAGTGAAATCTCTAAAGCATCATCAGAGACCTTCTGACTGATATCAGTACTTGCTATTTTTCTTAAATGTCTCCAGCAGCAAGAGTTACAAATGGTGGCTTGTTCTGAAAACTGAACTTACTTTTCAGAAGATTTTTCAGGGAGGGCATGCAGAGACCAGCAGGTGCTTTTTTACAGCATGAGACTATCTGTGAAGGTAAATAGTCTGCCTCTTGCCATCCTTCAATAAACCATATGGTGGTTAAAAAAACAGACTAGCACTGACTTCCAAGCTCATGTACTGCAGATAAGCCTCACGTATTTGCTCATGTATTTGCTATAGTGTAAAACTGGATTAAACAGTGTCCCTAGGTGTAGTGTTGAAAACACAAGGTGACATATGTCCAGTCTGGAGCACAGTAGGAGGACTGTCTTCTGGTCTTCTAGCAAAGATAGAAGAGGTTTTAAAAGTCATGGAAGAGAAAGGAAGAGAAGGCTAAGGTGATCTTTTTTACATAGAATTTGGGAGTGAGGGGAAAAATAAAGGGAGAGGCACCAAGCACTGAAATCCTTGAAGGAATGGAAACTTGGTTATACTGTGAAACAACATTCTACTGCCAATTAAAGGTTTTCCATAGACACTTGTAAGTTATGAGGGAGACCAGAATTTGAAAGCCATGAAACATTTTTAAAGTTTCCCAGTGATGATAGCAGATCAAAAATATAATCTGACTGCCCGTGATAAGTTGTGCACAGTGAGAACTGATCTCTTTCCTTAAATCCATAAGAGGGAGTCTGTGAGCAAAAAATCCTTCAGCAGCACTGTAAGGCACTAGATCTTAGAGCTGGCCAGAGTGTGTACAGGGAACCACTACACTGTCTGAGCCAGTTCCTGGACAAGGATGCTGTCTGCTCTCATCAGTGTGAAAAACATTCTCTTGCTCTAATGTGCAGACTGTCTGTAAGCAAGGCAGAAGAGTGAAGTCTGAAGTGCAATGACTATTTTCAAGGAGCATATAACTGATACTCAATTGTTATAAATGGGATAACTTGGATAATTTGGAGGTGCAGAGTCTTGGTAGGGCACTCACTAATCATATCAATAACACTTGGGATTGCCTGGTAACCAGATTGGAACCACATAATTTGCATATGGATGTTGCCAGACTGGGACCAATGGACAAAAAGTAATTCCGAGTGGATTGTTTCTTTGGAAGGAGTTTGAGGAAAAAAAAGGGCAACAAAATGTCTACAAAAAGCTATTCAGAAGTAGAAAAAATCAGTGAATGAAATGGGTACAAAAAAGATATGAGATGTTCCAACAGTAGGAGTGCAGATGCCTATGGATTGTGATGAAGCTGACAGCAGATCGAAGCCCACCAGGAAGCTGGAGGGGAACCTGTTGGTCAACCCAGTAGAATCTCCCTCTGGAGAATAGAGGGCTCGTTGACTATGTGCTTGTATGTCTATATTACTGAGGTGAATACCAAGTTTCCTTGTAGCTTTTGGTCAAGATGCTTATCTTTTGGAGTATGTAGGAGGAACCATGCCTACATATTGTGGCACACCACTGCTCTATGTGTGTGAGAAGAGAACATCAAATAAGTAATTGCATGGACTGAGGAGTGTTTTTTACCTTGAGGAGGCAGTGTGTTTGACTTGAACTAGATGTTCTTCTGTTGATACTGTATTTCTGATTTTAAAGTGTCTGGCTCTTGCGTTGTGATTACAGTACTTTTCAAAGAGCAGGTTTTTAATAAAAAATTTTTAATATTGAATTTTTACGTTGAGAATGGAAATTATGTTCTTGCTGCTCCCATGACCAAACATGGTGCTGACTGCTTTTTCAAGCAAGAATTTCTATGGTTTTCAGTGCTTGAAAATACTCATGGTAGTGTTATATGATGGGCTAATCCTGCAAGTCAACAACAGGTCTCTGAGGTGAGCATGTTGCCGTGGGAGTTAGATGCTGAAAAAATCTCCGGAGCAGTTAATTAGGGGTGAGATAAGAAAGGGTTTATTATGCCAAGGCTAAGATGTTACAAGACGCGCGCGCAGGCCGTGCCTGAGATGTTACATTTTATAATACCATCCATCCAATCCCACGTGTCCACCCTGTGGCCTTTACTCTGGTCTGCCCTGGGTCCACCCCCTGAAAATGGGTCTGGGGTGTGTTTCGGGACCCTCTGTTCATCCCATCTTCATCAGAGCACAAAGGATACATAGTCACCCAATTCTTGACCGTGTTCTGTGGTTTAGGTCCTGATATGCTGTTTTGCCAACAATCTAGGCCTTGCCTTGACAAAAGACTAAACATTTCTACTGGATTCGGGAGTAGGGGTGATATAGGGAGCATAGAATGGGGTAAGAGGGCTAAGGAATGTGTAAACAAGGGTGCTACAGAGAAAGGGAAAGGGACAAGGGACAAAGGAGGGAGGGTTGCTGCTTTTAAAATCTACTTATAAAACTTATAAGGCTTACCAATATTAGAAAAATAAAAAAACATTAGGGGCTTAAGGCATCAGCATCATTCAAAAATGGCTGACATAGGTATAAACACAGGAATTCTAGCAAATCCCAGAAGTATCTTTAGGTAGAAGCTGTCCTGTCAATATGCTCAGTGATCTCAGAGCTATCAAAAGAAAATACAAAGAGAATCAATAAGAATGTAAGAATAATGAAAAAAGGGCTGAAGGGAGACAAAAAAGGTAAAATTCACCTACAGTGTAATTTGGCTGAGACAAATGGAAAATACAGGACTCACTACAGCCTACATGTTCCCTTATCCGGAGCATAAGAACCACAGAATTAAAACACTTTGCCTTGCTATTGCTAGTGTTAAAAATGTCTCTGACTTTCACTGTTAGAGACATATACCCTCTCAAAGTATATGAAAATCCATATGTCCTTCCATTTCTACTCAAAGAAAGAAATTGTAGATGTTGGACTGGTTAAACCTTGCTGTGGACAAGAGTATGCCCATGTTTAGGGAGTTCACAACCCCCGACGACAACTGTAAAGATGGAATCATCTTTCTGGAACAGACACAGATTTGAAATCTTGGTTTCTTATTCCTGGGTGAATGCTAACCACCAGTGCCCCTAATCATTGCTTTCTCTATACTGATTTAAACTCTTCCTCCAAAAAAATAACAAAACCACAAACAAAACATCAAAGAATATCCACCAAATGCTTTGTCAAGCACTTCTGAACAATGTGAAATGTCAGTAATGCAGATGTTTGTAAGTGCATGCTGATGCTCTCAGGCAGCGACCTGGGTTGAGCACTTCAGGGAAACAAGCTCTAGATCTTCAGATTTGGACACTGTTCAGCCCTGGCATCATCTGGGACAGTTCCTGGAGCTCAGGATATAAGAGACTTTCAGAATCAGATGAGGGAGAGAGAAAGCCTCACTTTTGTTCAAGTTTCCCTGTAGGTAACTTACCCTTTAAATGGGAACTGCCCTCTAGAATAGTTTTTAGTTATTCCTGTTCCTCTGGTGTTCCCAAGGGTACTCTGAAGGTGGCAGTGCATAATACATTTCTCGAACTTCACCAGACTGAGATTTCTGTGCTTGGGAAGATTTGTGTGTTTTGGTTATTGCAGTCACTGTATGTCTGTATATTTCCAGATGACTTTGGCAGTTTTCCTTTAAAATTGTTCATTTTTATTAATAGACATGTTAGCATTTTATGTTTGCAATCTTACACATTGTGTGCTGTCAAGTTCTTTCCATTGACCTTATCCTAGTCTTACTCCGGCATTACTTTTACCATTGTCCGGGTTCATTTGGAAACAAATTACTTGGAACTCATATAAATATCTTTAGTG